CCTGTGACTGGCCCATGACAGAGGGGTAGACTCCAAGACCAGGTCATAAAGGGTCTGGCCATATAGGTTTCTAGTAAAGTTTTTTTTTTTTAATTATTTCATTTATCATTGTTGTTTTATGTGTATAAGTGTATTGCCTGCATGTGCGCAAGTGCACCCGTGTCGTGCAATATCCACGGAGATCAGAAGAGGGCATTGGATCCCCTGGAACTGGAGTTACAGACACCCCATGTGGGTGCTGGGAACCAAATTGGGTCCCCTACGAGAGCAGCCAGTGCTCTTAACTGCTGGACCATCTCTCCAGTCCCTCTAGAAAAGTTATTTTTTTTTTGTTTGGCTGGGGGTTTTTGTTTGGTTTTTGTCTTCTTGAGACAGGGTCTTCCTGTAGCTCCCCAGCTGGCCTGGAACTCACTCTGTAGACCAGGCTGGCCTCGAACTCACAGAGATCTGCCTCTGCCTCCTGAGTACTGTGACTAAAGGTGTCCACCACCACACCTGGCTGGTTGGGTGGGGTTTTTCTTGTTTGTTTGAAGCTTTTACAATTTTATTAGAATCTTAAAAATCCTCAGGGAAAGTGAGCTGGTAGTCTCAGCAGCTGCTTTGAGGAGGTGAATGGTGGGAAGGAAGGCAAGCCGTGGAGCCGTGCAGGTTTAGGGCCTGCGTGGAGGTCAGACATGTGGCTGACTGGCAGCTTTAGAAGGAAGCTTTAGAGAAAAAGTAAAGACATGCAAGACACTAAGGGCAGCCCAAAGCCTTAGAGGAAGCGTGTTTAGTAAGAAAGGCATGAAGAAAAAGAGAAATCATGCTTTCCTGAGGAGTTCAGGAAAGCGGACAGACTTACAGAGACTTACATGACTGTGGCTGGAAGTTCCATGGAGTTCTCGGTTGGGTTTGTTTTTTTTTTTTTTTTAAGTAGTGGGGATCAAAGCCAGGGCACCATGCACACAGGCAAGCATTCTACCTCTGAGCCCAGTTTTAGAAAAAAATATTTTCTCCAGCCCAGTTTTAGAAAAAAAATATTTTTTGAGACAGGATTTTACTATGTACCCTTGACTAATTTACAACTCTCTATGTAGACCAGGCTAGACTTGAACTTATGTAAATCTTCCTGTCTCTGCCTCCCCATGCTAGAATTTCAGGCATATGCCACCATCCCTGGCCAAGTTAAAAATTGGAATAATTTAACTGCACAGAATTAAAATGTAACTCAGGGGCTTAGGACACATGCTGTTCTTGCAGAGAACCTGAGTTCAGTTCCCAGCACCCATGCCAAGCAGCTCACAACTGCCTATAACTCCAGCCAGGAGATCCAGCTCCCTCATCTGCCATCCTTAGGTACCTGCACACATCTGCACATGCCCACACACAAACACACATATACACATAATTTAAAATAAAAATAAAATCTTTAAAAAAAAGATCAAGGAATGAACTTAGTTATCTCTGGAATGTGTTCTCCATATTAAATTTTTACTTTTAAAACATCCACAGCAAAGCATCACGAGGTTTACTAGGATGCCCAAAAGATCCAACACCTGCCAGGGGGCTGTCAGGGGGCTGCCAGGGGGCTGTCAGGGGGCTGTCAGGGGGCTGTCAGGGGGCTGTCAGGAGGCATCAGGACGATGGGAGGCAAACCCCACACAAACCCAGCTGGCCTGAGTAGCTCCATGTAAGCATTACTTCCCCCAGGTCCAAGTCCACCTCTAAGGTTCTTCTGAACATGAAGACACCGCCAGCGTGTTTTAAAGAGAGTGAGGTATTGAGTTTGCCCCTAACTGGCTCTGGGGGACTGTGGCAGTAGGCAGGGGCCTCACTGCCCCCAGTGGAGATGGTAGGACATGCTACCCCCTAATGACCTTGCAGCCCAGCCTGGCCTGGTAAACCACCTACGGTAGCCTCCTGACACGTACCTCCACTCACTCACCCACAACTTTCACTCCCTACAAATTTGTCCTTGAAGCCACAACCCTCCCAGCAGAGATGCCCACGGCAGGCCTCTCCGGCTAGGTATCCAGTCCCGCTGCAGCTCAGCAGCCCAGGACTGCCCCTATTCACCAGCCTCTGCAGACAGACTCTGGTATTTGGGGTAACGGGCTGGGCCAGCATGGCACTTCTACAAATGCAGCTCGTTCAGGTGAACGCTGCTGACACTGGCCCAGGTGCCCCTTTGAGGGAGGGCTTGTAGCCAACAGCTGTTACTAGGTGCCCTCTTAGCTCCTTCAGGGACAGTCTCATCTGCTCGGAGCTGCTTAGCTGGAAATCATACACAGCTGATCACTAGGGGGGCACAGAGACCTGACTAGCCCCACCCTCTCAACACACTGGGAGGGACCATCCTAGAGCCCAGGCTTCTGGTGGGGCTGGGCAAGGTCCACAATTGTTTCTTTACCCTCCCGCTCATGAACCTGTCCCAAGCCCATCCCTCCAAATATTCTCTCTACACACTAAACTGCATCAGTGTCAGTGCCCCAGAGTCTTGGAGCCCAACCAGAGGCCATGTTAGGAACAGGGCCAGGAAGCTAGAGGAAGGATCCTGGAGATTGACTCACAGCAGGAGTGGGATGGGACATTCTCATAAGGCTGGGACGCCTATTGGATAGTTCTGGTTCATGGAAACCAAAGGAATAGGGGCTGTAGCGTAACAAGTTGCAAGTGTGGGGCGCACACAACAGCACTAGACATGTGACTGCAGGAGGCACAGCAGGACCAAGAGAAAGGCCAGGTAGCCACACTTGATCATGGAAATCGGATGGTAGGAGGGAACTTGCTGGCCATGGGGCCCTGATCCACATAAAGGAAAACCTGGTGTTCCCAGAGGAGTATGACTGGCAGCTGTCAAGTTAGCACTGATCGACAGTCTGTGAAAAGAAGTGGATGGGTAACTGGGAACCCAGAGCAGTTGCCACCACCACCCCCATTGAGAATTTACTACTGAATTGTCTGGATATTACCCAGCATCTGGTCTAGAAACCAGCTATCCACATGAAGCCAGGCAGACTCGGGGCCCTTCTCTCCCCATGAGGCCCATCTCCCAAAGAGCTGTGCCACATATTGACGGCCAGTGCCCTCCAGTGTCACCCTGACCCAGGGCAGTGCCCAGCCTGAACTTCAAACTGCTGGAGTTGGGGGGTGGGGGTGGGGGTGCTGCCATTCTGGGAAGCTCACTTTTCTGATGATTCTCATGGGTCATTCTGGGGTAGGAAAAGGCACATTCAGCAAGAAGTTTGGTCTGAAAGCGGGAAGTGTCCATGGGGGCAGAGAAGAAGGAAGTCCGTCGGCTGAGGGCAGTGTGGGGATATAGCTGGGGCACATGCTTCATCTGGCCTGCAGGTTAGGAAACCCTAGGAAGCCATGGGTTCACCTCCAAGGGAAGGAGGAGAAAGGGCCCTCCAGGCAAGAAGGGGCCTCAGAGCCCTGTGCTTTCTCTATAGTAAAGAAACAAGTCCTTTTGGTGCATTTTCCAACTCATCCGTGGACACACCATGCTCTTGAAAACTAAGAGACATTGGGGCTGGAGAGATGGCTCAGCAGAACACTGGTTGTTCTTGCAGAAGATCCGGGTTTGAATCCCAGCACCCACATGGCAGCTAACAACTGTCCTTAACTCCGGTTCCAGGGGATCCGACAGCCTCTTCTGTTCTCCGCAGGCATTGCACGACTCGGGTGCACTTACCTACATGCAGGCAACACACACATACACATAAAATAAAAATAATAAATAAGCCGGGTATGGTAGTGCATACCTTTAATCCCAGCACTTGGGAGGCAGAGGCAGGCGGATCTCTGTGAGTTCAAGGCCAGCCTGGTCTATATAGTGAGTTCCAGGACAGCTTGGGCTACAGGGAGACCCTGTCTCAAAAAGACCAAAATAATAATAATAATAATAATAATAATAAATAAAATGTTTTTTTTATTTTTATTAAAAAAGAAAAGAAAAACTAAGAGACATTGTTGGCAATGGGCACTCTGCCTGGGACTCTGGATCAGGCCACAGATGGTAGGTGCGAACTCACAGAGGCAAAAGCACTTTCTAGACATCACACAAGTGAGGGACCTCAGGAGGCCAAGACCTGGCCTGACTGGTCCTGATTCAATGATCAGCAAATGGCTGAGGAGCCTGGGACTCTAACCTTCTCCTGGCTGTTCCCCAGGCTGCTGTGTCAAACAGAATCCCCTGGAGGCTAGAACACAGAGCTGGAGACCAGACGTGACTCTTTGAGAAGAGTTACCAGATGTGAGCACAGGGTCTCCTGAGGAGTTCTGGGCACAACAGCTGCCTAGGAGCCAGCGGATGGAAGGCTGGCCAGCTGGAAAGCCAGGTGCTAGAGCCAGGTAGCCAGTCCTGGGGTAGAGGGCTCTACTAGTTGAGGGGCCGGTACCACATCAGAGCAGCCTCAGTGCATACATCTTTCTCCAAACCACATCCTCCTCCTACCTCCTGTCCCCAGCCTCATGTGTACTCCAGGCCCTCGGGTTCCTGTGGGCACCCAGCTCACTGCAGGCAGCCACGTGGCCCTTCTTTCCTCACCCCAGCTAGGACAGTGGGTAGCACTGGGCCACAGTCTAAGATACACAAGTGTAGTCAGTGAGGGCTCTGCCAACCTGGCGGGGGGGGGGTCGAAGCCTAACTCCCTCCAGGCCCAGTGGCTGGCTAGATTAGAAACACCTCTGTCTACTGTGCACATGGACTTGAGGCTGAGGAGTCTGAGCACAGTGCCTGGCCCTTTGGGGGCTCAGCAGATAGCAATACCATCAAGCACTATGTGTCCTCAGTCTCCCAAAAGGTCTTCTGCCTCGCCTGTCTTTCTCAGCTGGTCTTCAGGATTTTTTTCATTGGTGGGCCTCCAAGTTTGTTGGGGACAGCTGTTCGCACTAAGATAAGAAGCAGAAGAGGAGGGTGGAGGAGGAAGAGTAGATGGTGATGTCCTCACGCCTCCAGATCCCCAGCTCTAGCCAGGCCTACATCATGCTGAGCGCAGCACATGCCACCTGCACGTGGTTCCTGGGAGGCCAAGTGGGTGGGTGTTATGCCCACGTGCTGCGGGGCACTGGATAAGGAGTTGGTCAGCGGGTGTCGTGAAGGAAGTGCTGGGCCTGCCCTTGATTTGGGTTCCCTGTGGAGAGAAAAAGCTGAGCTGTGGGGAATCCAGGCAGGGGGAGCCTTCCCCTCATACTTCATTCACCAGTGCAGAGGCCTCAACCGTGGAGTGGGGAGCCAGGGAGTGGCTTCTCTGCCTGGAGGAATGGAACCACCTGCCCTATGGGCTCTGCTCTGTCTCTGTCCCTCCCAGGCTCTGGGCCAGGAGGGAGGTGTCTGTCCAGGTGAGAGGGGTTTACTCAGGCATGTGGGCACATGCATACCTGTGCATACGTATGGAGTGCACATGTGGCAGCATGCAATGGGGTAACCTAGAGGAGCAGCCTGGGAACTCCAGAAGTGGGCTGGCATTAGGTGACTTCCTTGGGGAGTGGGTGGGTGCAGTATGCTCTCCGTTGCTGCTCCAAAGCCCACCCCTTTTTATTCTATGCAGAAGCCAAGATCACTGATCTGGGGGCCAAGGACAAGGGAGCTGTCATTCAAAGTTGCCCTGGCATTCCTGGCCTACAGGGGTCTAAAGGGGAGGCTGGCAGCCCTGGTGGGAGAGGTAGGGATATGGATGGGGGGGTCCCCTCTACCACCTCCCCTTGGCCAACCATTCCCCAGCCCCATCTAGGAGATAGGGTCCAGTTTAATCCTTGTATTTACAGGAGAGTGGGGCCCCCAGGGCAGCCTGGGAAAGATGGGGCCTCCTGGCAGCAAAGGTAAGTGGAGACGTTCCTGTGGGTCTACCTACCGAAGACCCTGAAAGGACTTGGAGGAAGCACCTCATCCCCCCACACCCTCCTCCCCAGGCTCTGCACAGCTGTGTTTCTGCCACTTCCTAGCAGGCTGGGTATTCCAGGCTTCCTCCTAGTAGCCCTGCTTGCATGTGCATGCACACACACACACACACACACACACACACACACACACACTCTGCAGGGAAGAGGAGCCTCCCACCCCATGCGGAGGCCAGCACTGTGAAAATGTCCCTTCCATCTACAGGAGAGCCAGGAACCAGGGGGCCCCCAGGAGTCAAAAGTGAGTCTGGTAACCAAAGAAGGGACAGGAGGAGCAACTTTATGTGGCTCTGTTAGGGTCTTATCGGCTTGATGGGAGCCTTGCGCATGGAGAAGGGAGGCAGTTCACAGTGGCACCACCCCCAAATCCCCTAAGGTCTCCCTGCCCCCGCCACACCCAGGCCTCATTCTGGGCATCAGAGTGTTGGGGACTCACAGCCCTCAGGGCTGGTAGAATGCTGGAAGGAACACAAGGCATTAGGTGACTTCCTGAGCAGGGTCCAGGTTAGACCAGGCAGTACCCTGTGTCTATCTCTCCAGGAGAGAAAGGGGACGAAGGGCCTGCGTCATCACTGGGTAAGTACATCCCAAGTCTCCTGGAAAACTTCCAGCATCTCTACCCCATAGTTGAGTCCAGAGGAGTCCTGACTGACTAGGGTCAGGGGAACCCTGAATGGTACAAAAAGAATAGCAAAAGCTGGGCGTAGTGGTGCGCGTCTTTAATCCCAGCACTCGGGAGGCAGAGGCAGGGGGATCTATGTGAGTCTGAGGCCAACATAGTGAGTTCCGGGCCAGCTGGGTCTACAGGGAGACCTTGTCTCAAAAAGACCGAAAAAAAAAAAGTCCCAAGAGATCCAGGAGGGAAAACTCACCCCCCCTACCCACCATCCTAGCCTCAGGGGCTCAACTAACCTGTGGCATCTCAAGGTTCATCTAGTCTCCCAACCAGCACCCTGACCTATCCCGGCTCTGGAAATGATCACAGAAAGGACAAAGTCCCAGAGGCAGCCAAAAGCCTAAAAGAGCCTGAGCCAGTAGAAGCCAGGATGAGTATATTGGGGTCTACAACAGATCTGGCACTAGCCCTGCCAAGTGGACTATGGCCTGCTGGGGGTACATCTGTGCTGAGGGGGAACCAAGAAAGAGACAACTCATGTCTCCTGCCCAGGTGAGAAGGAGCTGGGGGAAACTCTGTCCCAGAGAGGTAAGTGACCCAGGCTGCCCCTCCTACCCCTGCCGGTGGGAATGCAGTGTGGGACCCCACATTCCTGGATACTTTCACTTGGACCCTTGCCCCTGAAACACACCCCAGGTACAGGCCAACATTGCCCCTTTCCCATGGCACAGGGCCTTGGAGCTACAAGGACGTGCTGACACATGGGGCCTTCCTGACTGGCTGGTATACCATCCACCTCCCCAACTGCCAGCCGCTGACTGTGCTCTGTGACATGGACACTGACGGCAGGGGCTGGACTGTAAGTAGGAAAGTTTAACACAGGGCATTGGAGGTTTGTTCAAAACAGCCATGCTCAGGAGAGCTGAAGACAGAACCAAGGAGACAGTCGAGTGGTCAAAGAAAACGCATCTGGTGCCTCCACACTAAGACCCTGAGCACCAATGGACCAGAATCTAGAGCTCCAGCTCTGTAGCGGGAGCTAAGCGGACATAGGACCCAGGTCATGACGTATCACAGTGTCTGGTAGCCCTGCCTTCTACGCTGGGCCACTGGAGCCCACCAATCGCCTGTGTCACTTGCTTCCTGAAACCCTGCCCTTGTCTTCCCCTCTGGAGGGAAAGAACCAGAACCTAGACATATCCTTCAAGTCCCTACTCCCCAGAACCCCACACCTACAGAATGCCCTACCTACCCCACAGGTTTTTCCAGCTATGAATAGATGGGTCCGTGGATTTCTTTCGAGATTGGGAAGCTTATAAAAGACGCTTTGGCAACGTAGGCACAGAGTTCTGACTGGGCAATGACTACCTAAACCTACTCACAGCCAATGGTGAGGAGATGGCACCTGGGCCAGCACCTGCTTTACCACACCACCTGGGCTCAGTCTTTCCTTCCTTCCTTCCTTCCTTCCTTCCTTCCTTCCTTCCTTCCTTCCTTCCTTCCTTCCTCCCATGTGACTAGGGAACCAGGAGCTCTGGATCGACCTGCAAGATTTCCAAGATGAAATCTCTTATGGCAAGTACAGGTCATTCCAGGTGTCTGGAGAACAGGAGAAATACAAGCTGATTCTGAGCCAGTTTCTCGGGGGCACTGCAGGTAGATCCCTTGTCGGGAACATGGAAGGGACCTGCAAACTGCCCCTCCCATCTGGGGTGGACTTCAGAGCTGACAGATATGAATCTTTGCAGGAGACTCCCTGACAAGGCATGGGGACATGCCATTCACAACCAAGGACCAAGACAATGACAAAACATCCTGAGGAATTGTGCACCTTTGTTCCATGGGGCCTGGTGGTATTAAGTTTATCACCAGTCCAACCTCAATGGACGCTACGTGCCTGGCCCCCATGAGACCTATGCAAATGGTATCAATTGGCTAAGTGGCCGAGGCCACCACTACTCCTACAAGGTCACTGAGATGAAGATCCGGAAAACCTAGGCTGAAGAAGGCCAGCAGCTGGCCCCTAGCCCCGTCCCTGCAGCCGTGCTCGAAGCAGATGTATATACGGAGGGAAGATGAAAACCGTGTTATCTGCCGTGTGCCGCCTATGCATCCTCTTGGACACTGTTCGGCACATGGCAGTGTGCACTAATAAAGATCAAAGAAACAGAACTGATAGCCTGACAAGTCGGGGGTGAAGGGCAGCAGGTAAGGGAGACCCCCATGTATCCGTGCCATCCTCAAGGCCAAGATCCAGAGAGTCACCTAGACCAAAGCACCAGAGAGGAGGGAGGAGGCAGAGAGCTTTCCAGGGCCCACTCGCTTCCAGGAACAGACCCATTACCAAGTGCAGAGGCCGAGCCTCCTCTTCAGCCCTGTATTCCCTAAACAGAAGGGACCATCAAGGGTCTCATGGGGCTTTAAGGTTCCTTCCCACAGTCTTTTCTACAGCAGTTCCATGGCCACTCTCAGCATGGGGGACACATGACAAAGTGGCCAGTGCTAGAAACGAGCACAAAGGGCAGGTCGACGGGGGAGGTAACCTCGGGAACTCTAGAACTACCGGCTGGACAAGGGTCCTGCTGACGGGCAAAGAAATTCTGCAGGTCTGGTAGCCCTGCCTCCTACGGAAGAGGAAGAGTGCCATAAGGAGCGCAAAAGTCCCTGGGCAGATGTTCACACTATATGTAAGGGTAAACTGAGCCCAGAGAGCCATTCCTGCCTCACTCTCAGGAGACAAGCCTGCTAAGAACTTTCTCTATCCTGGAAGGTTCAGAGAGTAAGGCCTGGGGTGCTCTCCTGAAGCAATGGGGCAGGAGGTAGCAATGCTGTGGCCAGGCCCAAGCAGGAGGCACAGGGCCAGGAGCCCCTATGGAGAGGATGTCACATGTTGCCAAGTTGGCCAGGAGCACTATCATCCTTACTCACCACACACCAAGCCTGGCTGAGGGTACAGGATCTAAAAGGACATTCAGAGGGGAAGAGGGAAGCCAGGCATGGTGGCACACACCTTTAACCCCAGCACTTGGGAGGCAAGGCAGGCAGATTGCTATGAGTTTGAGACCAATCTGGACTACATAGTGTGTTCTAGGCCAGCCAGGGCTAACAGCAGGGTCAGGCCCAAGGGAAGGAAGTGGAGGTAGAAACTTGTGTGATATCTGCTACCCTGGACCGTGAAATAGATGTTGGCAGAGAAGGAGAGGATCAAGACCTCTGGGATGCCAGATAAGGAGTAGGATGGAGGAGGTGTTGGCAGAGGGGGTACGGGTGGTACTTTCACCCACATGGGCACACAGGCCATAATGGCAAATCTAGGGACACCAGAGACGACAGCTCCTGTTCCCACAGTAGAGGAGCTACAACTTGGAGCCTCCATGGCCACTTCCTCTTGGGCTAGAAACCCAAACCCAGAGCAAAGGGGGGGGCCCGCAGAGCTGCAAGAAGATCAAAGGGAATGTGCAGAATCCAGACGGAAGAAAAGGCAGCATAAGCCTAGGTGAGAGGCTGGAGGTGTGGTTCTGAGGACAGTGGGAGCTGCACCCAGGGCCCCCTTTCTGTATACCCCTGGGTTCCCTGGACCCCTGAGAGGAGCAGGCATTGAGAGGTACCCGCTGTACCAGGTCTCCCCATGTCTCTTCCACTGTCAGGTCCCAGCTAATGCTGGCGGTGATGGGGCTTGGAACATTAATGACTTCATTAACAAGCAATAACCTTAAAAAGAAAAGGTGGAGCCCTGGGAAGATGACTCAGCTGTTAAGAGTGCTTATTGCTCTCAGGGCTGGAGAGATGGCTCAGCAGTTAAGAGTACTTGCAGAGGACCCCACTTTGTTTCCCAGCACCCACATGGTAACTAACAACTGTCTATAATTTCCAGTTCCAGGTGATCCAATCCCCTCTTCTGGCCTCCATGGTAATTGCACTTACATACATGTAAGCAAAACACTCATACACATAAAATAAATAAACAGAAAAGAGTATTTACTGCTCTTGCAGAGGACCAAGGTTTGGTTCCTAACACCCACGTCAGGTGGCTCACAGCTGCCTGTAACTCTAGCTCTGGAGGCTCTGATGCTCTCTTCTGGCCTCTGAGGGCATCTGCACTCATGAGCACATAATCCCACACAGGTCCACATGCACAAATAATTAAAAATAAAAAGGTTTTAAAGGAAGAACGTGGAGCTGGGGAGAAAGTTCAGTCTGTGAACGGCTTGCCTTGGAAGCGTGAGAAGCTGAGTTCAGTTCTCCCTTTCCTCTTTCTCCTTTCTCACTCTCCTCTCTCTCTCCCCAACTCTCTGAGACAGAGCTTCAAGTTTAGCCCAGACTGACCTTGAACTCAAGATCCTCTTGCCTTCACCTCCCCATTGCCAGGATCACTAAGGTGCGCACCATGCCAGGCTCCCCAACACACTTCTCAACCAGGTATACCCACCTGCAAACCCTAGTTCTACCCAAACCTACTGTCCACAGTCTCTGAGCCCAGTCTATACAGCTGAGCCTTGCCAGAAACAATCACTGGGCTATGCTTCCCACAGGACATCTAATTCAGGGTAAGGGGTCTGCAGGGGCACTCACGGTAAACCACCCACAACCTACGGCAGTCCCTGAGACTCATCTCCCACCCCTTCTCCCATTTGACTGGCGAAGTTGACAATAGGTTACCACCCACTTGTGTCCTTGCTCCCCTCCAGCCTCTGAAACAAGCCCAAGGTTCCTCTCTCACACACCATCCATTCCTCCTCCACTCCTGGCTCACACTTTCTAGAACTCTCATAGTCTTCCCTCTGGGAGCCTCCTGGGTGTCCCATGTCCTGGCCCCTCCCTATCCAGCCAGCACCTTCTGGCCTCCTGTAGGCAATCAGTCTCACTGTATGGAGAGGAGCTCTGGCTCCTCCAGAGGAACCACAGCCCCTCAATAATATTTTTGGAATTACTTTGCTAAATAATATTTCCAAAAGTCACTGTTCTTGCCAGGTGTGGTGGTACATGCCTCTGTCTACGAAAAAGTGCAACTCTCACCTCAAAGAGGGTAAAAGATAGTTTATTCTAGAGCCAAATATGAATAGCCATGACCCAGGAACAGAGATTCAGATTACCCCAAATTCCATGTCCCAATATGGACGCAGTTTCAAGAATTTTTATAGTTACACAACAAAGAAAAACATAAATCAAGTTACTTTTCAAATACATTCATTGAAGCATTAGGCAGGCTCTTAGAGCAGAAGAGAAATCTCAGACATATGCTTCAGAGGCGCTCAGCCTTTTGGTTAGTGGGAGCAAGTCATCTGCTAAGTTAATACATCCCAAAAGGTTTTGATCTGTTAGTCGCAGGATAGTAGGTCAGACACAGAAGTGGGCAAGGAATGCCTATTTAGGGGCCTAAAGATAGCCCAAGATAAAGTGTAACATTCCAAACTCTGCACGGTGACTGGCGTTCCAATCAAGTTTGCTCAGTCTTGCAGAAGGCTCAGTTTGAAGATGCACATTTTGTGGCTGGAGATATGGCTCAGCAGTTAAGAGCACTGGCTGCTCTTCCAGAGAACCAGGGTTCAAATCCCAGCACCCACATGGCATCTAACAACAGTCTCCAGCCCCAGGGGATCCAACGCCCTCTTCTGTCCTCCGAGGGCATTGCACAACACAGGTACATTTACATGTAGGCAATACACTCATACATATGAAATATAAAAATTTTAAAAAGAAGCACTTTTTTTCCAGGAACTTTGGTTCACATCTTTAATCCCAACATTCCAGAGGCAGAGACAGGAGGATCTCTGTAAGTTCGAGGCCAGCCTGGTCTACATAGTGAAACCTTGTCTCAAAAAAAAAAAAAAAAAAGGACTTCCTGAACTGTATCTTAAAGCAAAGCCGCATCGCATGTAGAAAGAACGATCACTGCGCTCTGTGAGGAGCACGGAAATGTGGGGCGAAGGGAGCCGCCGGGGCTGCCGGACTCAGCATCCAAGATTGCGGAACCCAGAGCGCGGGGCTGCCAGGCCCCGCCCCGCCCTGCCAGCCCCGCCCACTTGGCCGGGCCTATGAGGCCGGCTCTCTCAGGTCCGCATCCTCCGCTCCGCCCCAGTCCCCGCCCCCCGACACGTCCGTTTAGGCCCCGCCCCTGTGCTACGCCGGCCGTCTGGGGCCCCGCCCCCGCCCTCCGGCCTGGCCGAGCCAACCATGGTGAATCTGGGCTTGTCCCGAGTGGAGGACGCTGTGGCAGCCAAGCACCCGGTGAGAAGGCCGGCTTGGCTCAGGGCCTAGAGGACCCCGGTCGGGGCGAGGCGGAGGGGGACCCCTCCTGCCATGGGGCGGGGCACCCTACCTGAGCTTGGATGGAGGTGGGGTGGGCCTATTCTCAAGTCTCCCTCCCCCGTGGCCTGCTAGCACCCAAAGGAGGGGCTGGAAAACGAGGGCAGGGGGAAGGGAGCTGAGCCACCGACCCCCTTCCCCCATGCCAGGGACTCGAGGAATATGCCGCGTGCCAGTCGAACGCCTTCATGAAGGGCCTTTTCACCTTTGTCACAGGTAGGCTGGCTCCAGCTGTCTTGGGGCGCAAAAACACACCCTAAGGAAAAACACACGCACCTTCCTGTCTCCCCAGCAGGTGGCGCCAAGTCTAGTGCAGGTTCACTAGGCACCTCACTTAGTCACCTGCAGGCTGACAGATGGCTCCTTGGTTCTTGACAGGCACCTCTGGGACATTCGGCTTGCAAATGTTCATCCAGAAGAAGTTACCATACCCTGTGCAGTGGAGCTTCCTGGTGGCTGCTGGTGGGTACTCCAGGGTGGGCGGCCAGGTCCTGAAATCGGCCACATTTCTGGGAGTGACTGGCCCTTAAAAGATGATGTGTTTTTTTGCCAAGGAGGGGACTGTTTAGCCTGGCATAGGACCCTAGTTTCGGCTGGAGGTCGTTCACCCTGTCTGCCCAGAAGGACCTTGTGCCAGGTCCCCTTCTGAGAAGTGCAAAGGCTGAGGCCTGTGCTCCCCAGTTGTAGGATCTGTGGCCAGCTACCAAGTGACAAGAATGGAGTCTCAGAAATGCAGCGACCTCTGGCTCTTCCTGGAGACAGGGCAGCTCCCCAAAGACATAAGTACAGGTGAGGGGGCCCTAAGGACAGCAAGAAGTGGGAAGCTGGGGTGCCAGTGCCCAGAGTTTCAGGCAGACAAGCCCATGGGTCCCAAGTGATAGGCTGGACCCGTCCTTTCAGACCCAGCTTCCTTACAGAATGGGTCTGGGTCTGGGAGTGGGTACGGCAGACAGAGCTTGAGAGGCCCATTCCCAAGAAATACCCTGAGCAGAGAGAAAAGTAAGGTGTGTGGGCAAGGCACAGCAGCCACTCAGGCATGCGCCAGCATGGACACACACACACACACACACACACACACACAAAGTTCCTAGGACTGAGGCCCTGAATCTGATACCAAGTTGGTGGCTCTCAGGCCTGCTGTCCTTGCTTTGTTTTATTCTTCTGAGACAGTCTCATATAGCCCAAGCTGACCTTGAACTCCTGATCTTCCTGCCTCTACCTCCCAGTGCTGGGATTATAGGCATGTATCACCACACCTGACAGGACATGTTTTTGCCATGATAGAAGGGAATCAGGGCCCCTCAGAAACCATGGCCCTGAGTCCAGCTGTCTCCCTTTTTGCCTCTTACAGATCATCACAGTTAAGAGAGCTCCGGCCACTGGATAGTAGAGGATTTGGTGCAGTGGGAGTCCGGGAACACAGACCTCAGGTCCCACTAACTCCAGGCTGGTCCTCCCTGCTTCACCCAGGGCCTCCCCAAACCTTTGAGAGTTGTCTGTCCTCTGCACATGTGCATGGCCAGGCCTGACAAAACTGTGAAAACACTGCTACAGGAAACCCAGGACCTGCCCAGGACACCATCTCACAAAGAGCCGTGGGGAGAGGCCCTGTTCCTCCAAGGCAGTGAGAAGCCAGGTCAGTGCTGTCAACCAGAGAGGGTCATGTCCTGTTGCAGACAACTGTGGGGACAGAAGACTGCATGTGGTGAAAGATATCCGTGTACTTTCCCTGACCCCTGCACCCCAAATCCAAGTGGACAGCGGGTATTGGAGACATGGGGCTAATAAATAGTTTGTCTGTTTTCCCAGCTGAAATCTAAAGCATTAACAAACAAGGCAGGGCGTAAGAAGACTTGACCAAACACTTGCGTGGTTGCACAGCTGACACATGCAGAAGTTCCTAATACAGAGCCCAGAACTGGACATTCCTACCAGCCCTGCAGGCTTTGTAGGACCACCGAGGCCTCTCCTCATGGAGAACTACAGCTATACAATATGGCCAGAGGATTGAACAGAGGTAGGGGCAAGTTCATAGGTCACGCCCACCTGCTTGGCATCAGTGGAACCCACTTTCCATGGAGGAGGAAGCAGAGCTTTCTCCATAAAAAGTGTTGGGGGGGGGGTCAGACCACCCACACCAACCAGCCCTGTAAGAAGAACAACAATGGTCCCAACCTTAGCATCCCAGAAGCACAAAGGCTCAGCCCCAGCCAGTCCTTATACCTCCACCAAGATCGTTGATCAGAAGGGTGTCTATAAAGACCTGATGTGCTCTCAAAGCTGGTGGGCAGGCAGAATGGAAGACAGCCTCCTCCCCCAACCCATAGCAGAAGGTTGAGTAGGCTAGTTTTCATATAAAAATCCAGGGGGTGGTATATCAGTGTGTACACTGTTGCTAACAAGACACCACAGACTTGAGTGGGTTATAAGAAAAGACATTCATTTTTAGCCTGTGGTTCTGGAGGCTCAAGGCCCAGGGGCCACATCTGGTGATGGCTGTCTATCTGGCAGAGCACAGAAGAATCACAGGTCATCACACAGACAGAGATAGAGCACACATGTCTCTCTTTTCTATAAATCTCTCAGGATTTGATCATGGTGGCTTCACCCTGGCAATTTAAATTCTAACCACCTCTCAGAAACCCTACCTTGAAACATCACAGTCCTATTTTCTACCCTCTCAATACCTCACAATGGGGGTTAAACTCCAGCAGGAGTTTTGGAAGACAAACCATCTCCAAACACTGGCAGGAGGTCAGGGATGTACTAGGGTCAGGGACCAGGCTCCCTTCATCTGCCCCCTGCTGTAATGGCTCCCACTTCCAAATCTAGCTCATCGGTCCAAGTGGCTCCACCAACTCCAGCCATTGTGTCTTCATTCCATTTAGCAGAAAGGGGGAGGAGGACAGACCACCCACCACTTCTGCTTACACACCACTGGCCAGAACTAAGTCACATGGTACATCTACACCCAGGAAGGAAACCTTGTCCTGGTCAAACATGTATCCCACTAAAATCCAGGGATTCTGAGAGAAAGGGAAGAGCCAATATTGGGGGATATAAGTTGACTCTGCCTCAGCTGGACACCAAGCTGGGCCACCAAAAACTAGGGAGGTGAGCAAGCCATGGCCATGCAGGTCCCTCCAGCCCTCTAAGGATGAGGTCTGGGCCAGAAGGAAGGTAAGGTGTGAATAGAGTTTAGACTGGACGTTGGTGGGGAAAGTGATCGAAAGGTAAGGGATCTGTGTGAGAGGTCACAGGAAAATGAGCTCTAATATGTCCATGTGGTCTAATTGCACCCCCCAAAATTCATACACTGAAGTCCTAAGCCACAAGGACCTCAGAAAGTAAATATTGGAAGTAGGCCCTTTAACGAGATGATTAGGGCTTAATAACACTATCGGGGGTGTTAATCCGATCTTGCTGGTATCCTTATAAAATGAAGAGATTAGGACACACCCTGGCACAGAGGGACATGAACATGAGGTCACAGGAGAAGAGAGCATCCACAGTCAAGGAGAAAGGCAACAGAGGAACCAGCCATGCACCACCCTGACCCAGCTTTCTACTCTTCGACTGAAGAACAAATGCCTAAGTAGTAAGCTGGTGCAGACTCATGCAGACTAGTTTGTGGAAAGTGTTCCATCTCTTATACCCCATGGTGACCTAGGCTGCTGAGTGCTCCTGACACACTGTTCTAAGGGAAGGGGTAGTGTGAGGAGCTGTGGACCTACCACTACTGAGTAATTTGTGAACCAAGGCCCAGGGAGGTGAGGGAGACAGGGATCAAGCAGGCTGGGCACCAGGCAGGCCAACTGTGTTGAGAAGCTATGAGAGATGGGCAGAAGCTGAGATTGGGTCCCAGGTCACCCAGGGCCTGGGCTTGAACTGGGAGTATGGGTGAGGGACAAAAGTCTTGCCAAGCAAGTGACCAGTGGTGTTAGGTATGGGAGGCTCATTCCAACTGCTTTGTGAGCCTAAGGGCAGAGGAGGGGACACAGAGGTGCAGAGGTATGGGGTGAGCATTGTGCTAAACCATCCCCAATCGACCATCACTACCCAGAGGTCTCTGGTGCCCTGCAAAGCTCCTTAACAGTAAGAGGCTTCCCTAAGACTCCTTTCCCTTAGGCAAGCACCCAGAGGTGAGTCTAAAGCTAGAATTCCAGAAAGCCAAAGTTCCAGGGTTCCCTGGGCATTGAGAACCTTGGTCCCCATCACAGTGGTTTAAAATTCCAGGGACAATCTGAACCTAGGCTCAGTTGAGCAGCCAACTTCCCAGAGAGGGTGGGAGGCTCAGAGGTCCCCTGGAGGACTTTTAGGGCCACCATGAAGGTGCACAATGAGGCAGCTGTGGAAGCACAGATACATGAGCTAAGGACCATCACTCGGCTCCAGGGTGAGCCCCACACCATCCTGCCATCCTGACCTGCCGACATGCAGGAGTTCCTGGGTACAGGACTTTGTGGTTTTGTTTAGTGGTGCTGGGGATGAAACCCAGGGCCTCATACATGCTAGCCAAGCACTCTACCACTGAACTACAGCCCCAGAGCTTTGAAGTTCTAATACTAGACAACTTGCCACCCACTAGTCTCCCCTCCCCAAGGCTGAGAAAAGTCATAGAAGAGACTGCCCTGAGGGAGGAGGTGAAATGGAAGAGGGCCGATTCAGGAGTTTTGTGTTTGTAATGCAATATTGGCACTCAGTGCTGGAGAGGCTGGGAGGGACCTGCCTGCTTCTAGGAGCAACGGCTCTGGAAGTGACATGGGTGCCCCATCCCCTGCACTGCCCAGCCCTGGTCCCTGGACAGCCCTGAAGACCACTTTGAACAGTGAAGCTAGTGTCCCCCAGGGCTGGGTGGGAGGACAGGACTGGTTGCAGAGGCACTGTCCCACTCTACTGGCCTCTTTCTGGTCACCTCCCTGGGATTCTCAACCAGTCCCTTGGCCCACAGTCTGGTCACCCCGTTCCCTCCACTACCTACAGAGCAATGTCGGGCACTTCAGATCCAGGGCGTGAAGGAGAAGAAAGCGCAGAACAAGGCTACGCTAAGCCTCCTGCGCAGCAACGTCCGCCGTGGGGCACAGGGCTGGGCTTTGGCCCAGAAGGTGCACGAAGCCCGCCCCCTCTTTGCAGGCTGAGGACGGGGGGGGGGCCTCACTGGAGCACCCCCCCTTATCCCAGAGGCGTGCAGGGGTGGGCTCCGCTGTGATTGGTGCCCGGACAGGTTTCCCAGCACCCACCAACGGTGCTAGGCATCTGCAGCAGAGGTTCCCTTGGGCTCTCTAGTCAGCTAGGGGAGACCTGGCCCTCTTGAGACCGCATCACACCCGAGCTGGGATGGCCCTGGCGGGGCCCCTGCTCAGGGGTCCCACCAAGGGTGTTCCTGATGGGCTAGCTGCGGGTAAGAAGCCCTGGGGGGTGTCTGAGGGGTCAGCGACTAGGGGGTGCAAAAGGGCCGGGCTCAGTCGCCGCCGCTCCACAGTACGACCAATGGACCATCTCCAAGGCCTGCGCAAAGGACGCGTCCGTAAGGCTGGCACACTGCCGATCGATGGAGGTAATGACGCCCGCGGGGCCCCGCGGCAATCCCGGCCCCTCCCAGCGCCCTCCTGGGGTCCCCGCGGCGCTCCCTCTGTACCCACGCGCAGACGCCTTCCCGGACTCAGGTGGCTCGGGAGAAGCTGCGCAAGTACGTCTTCGACCGCGTGAATGCGCACAACGTGCTGATCCACCTGGCACGGCTGCGCGGACAGAAGCTTGAGAGCCTGCGGCAGGAGCTGACCAGCCTGCAGAGCCAGCCCGAGGCCACCAAGGACGAGCTGCGGCAGCAGCCTGTACCCACGCGCAGACGCCTTCCCGGACTCAGGTGGCTCGGGAGAAGCTGCGCAAGTACGTCTTCGACCGCGTGAATGCGCACAACGTGCTGATCCACCTGGCACGGCTGCGCGGACAGAAGCTTGAGAGCCTGCGGCAGGAGCTGACCAGCCTGCAGAGCCAGCCCGAGGCCACCAAGGACGAGCTGCGGCAGCAGCAGGCGCGGGGCGGGGCGGGCGGGGCGGGCGGAGCTCCTCCGTCGGGTGGGC